GTTATTCCAAGTAGCAAAGTCCGTGCCCGTGAACTTATTTGGTTTTTCGGCCGCGCCGACAACCTTAGAAGCGGCATCATTAATTGAAGCCATCTACACAATTGTCAGATTTATATAAAAAAAAAAATTAAACTTTCAAACCAAAATAATTTGTCACATAATATTGAAGACATTATTCAGAAAAATTGATGTGAACAGTAACATTACACATGTTTCCAAACAAAACATTTATTTAATGATTTTTGTTTTTCATGCAGAAGATCTGATGGAAATATGTAAGCATCAATATTCTAACGCAATTTTTTTTTTTTTAATTGCATATAATATATAAAACCATTAAACTAACTTCAATAGAAATTATGATTTCAAGTTATTACAGCTGCGTATTGCAACACAGAAACCCAAACTCTTCATGGCATAACCAAATAATTTTTCTACGCAGGTTATTAAAATAAATATAAATCTATTGTCTTAAGATTGTTAGTATATATATATATAACAATCTGCGTAAACGAAAAATACTTACTTGTTTGTCGAAAAGAGGAATTGTGAAAACCACAAAGAACGATCGAGGCTTGCCAAAGCAATTCCCTCAAGACAATATTTCTGGGCTGTCAACGGTGCACAGTCTCTTCCCGGTAGTCTCCCAAGGTACAACGATCGGTTGTCGAATATTTGCACGAATATTCGACCCACGGCGAACTTGAACAACGAACGGAACTTTGACGAAGAAAAAGAAAAATATGAAGAACTATCTCTCAAATGCCGATTAAATTCCGTACAGAATTGGCCAGATTCTGCCTTTATTTATAGGTTGTAGAGATCCATTCACAGAGGAATGCAATGGTTGGAGAAGAAGCAGAGAGATGTGTCTGTTCTTTTTACCGAGTTCAAAAAACGTAGGAAAATTAATTGGTCATGGGCCAATTATTAAATATTTGGTTTGGGCCAAATATTTTATTATTTAAATTTTGGGTCAACTAATTTAACTAATTACTAAATGTCCCCAAAAGTAATATTTGTGGACACTTAAGCCCAAACTAGTCCTATCACTCGATCACATCGAGCACACATTTTTTGAACTTTAACCATTTAATCAAGACAATTTTCATTCACTTTACTTCATGATTATGATCAAGTAAATAAATGAAATTAATCTTTTCATAATTTAATTAATATTACTCAATATTAATTATTGGAAATCATGAAAATTCCAACAGTTACTCCTTCACTTACTAGAAATAGAGATGTGCTTAGCACACTTGTATAATTAATTTTTTTGTTTAGAGTTATTTTTTAATTAGAAGTGATGAATTAAATATTGAACGAAGTATTGTACTCATTTTTGTGAGTGAATCAGAGGGGAGATCCGAAATGGAAACGGCAATCGATTTCTCCGACCGGAATCTGGAAGATGGAGTTGATTTATCGATAATGCGGTCCATGGAGTTCCAATTAATACGGGGAACTTGTTGGTGGACTGGAGGCAGAGCAGCACCGCCGCGTCCCTGTCAGTGTTGAAGAAGGTAGATGAAGGCGGCGACAACGGCGATCATGAGGAGAATCATGAGGATCTTGTAGAGATTTTCCGAAGCCCACGCGGATAAATCGAGATTCGCGGAGTGGTGTTGTTGCCGACAGGAAGTGGGGAAAGTGGAGATGGTTTTCTCTATCTTTTTCAGTTATTTGCCCAAAATATGAAGAAAACGAAGGAAAATTAGGCCGCTTAAATGTTTTGAATTGAAAAGATGTACAATGTGCGTGCCTCAGATTTCGTCTAATTTAGATGAAAAATTAGTATGTATACCAGAAAAAAAATAAAAATAAAAATGAGTTCACAATGTGCAAAGGTTTTTTTTTTTTTTTTTTTTAAGGTAGCAAAGTCTTAAAGAGGTCACAAGTTCAGGCAATGAAGTTCTATTTACCCAAGAGATTATAATGAATAGGGTTGAGACATTTCACCCCTGAACTTAAGCGTGTTTTGCACATTATTACCCAAACTAAAAAATGTTGCACATTTGCCCCGCAAACTCCATTATTTGGATCATCGATCATTAATTTTGTCGTTTTGGCAAACACTACTCGCATGTTATTTTGCAAATGTAAAAAAGACAAGTTCGTCAACTATTTTTTAGCAGCTAGTTTGTTTTAACCTTTTTTCCCGCCATTTTCCCGCCATCTTCCCATACTTGCTTCTTTAACTTCCTTATTTCTTTATATTCTCTCTCTAGTTTTCGACTTTCGTTGTGTCTTGGTCTCATATATCGCGTGGGACTATACCATTTTTATCAAAACTCATTGACGATTGATTCTTAGATAATTTTTACACCAAAAGCAAAGAGCAAAACTGTCTCTCACAAAAAAAACCAAAAGGGTAAATTACACCTACACCCCTAAGGTAAGCTAAATTAACTTTAAGGTCCCTGTGGTAATGGTAATTACAGCCACACCCCTGAAACAATTATGGGAGCCAAGATTTCATGTCAAGGGGACCGATATGAACTATATTTGTTTTCCGCGGGGCCGTTACTGCTACCATAGACGATAATTTATAAATAATATATAAAATAATAAGGATTTAAGAAATGTTGGGGAGCCATGTCACCCCCTAGCTCTATGTTGTCTCCACCACTTTCTGAAACAAACAGTCCGTTAGAACCCTAGGAGCAAGTCCAACGCAGGCACCAAATGAAGCATTAAATGGCATAACTGCCAATTTGATGCTTTGAGTATGAATTTATCTTCTCCAACGCAGTAATTATACCTAGACATTTTTTTGATTATTCAGGTGTTGGGGTGTAAAAATACACCCCCTCCACTTCAAATAACAAAATTTAAACACCACGCAACCACCACCAACGGTCATATTTTCAGAAGGAAAAAGAGGTCCAACGGTCATATTTTCAGGAAGAAAGAAAGAGGTAAAATCTATATAATCTGAACCTACCTTTGAATCATCTTCATCCCAACAAATCACTATTCTGCATTTCTTCTTTCCCCATTTTTGTTCTTCAAAATCAAGGTATTTGAAAAAAAAAAGTGTGGATATATTGAGAAAAAAAGAGAAATTGGAGGGGTAAAGAGGATAGTTTTGCCATGAGTGATATAAATTAGGTAGATTAGAGAGAGGGAGATGATTGAGAGAGACTGAATTCTTTTTTTTTTTTTTTTGCCTTCTTCTGGAACCAGAGAGAAGAAGTGAGAGGGGAGAGAGGCGTATGTTTTAGGGTTAAGAGGGGCATATTTGTTTATATAAATTGGGTTGGGTTGGGTTGGGAAGTGAGATTTTAATAATTAATTTGGGCTTTGGGTTGTTTAGTTAAAATAATTTGAGAATTAGGTTTGGGTAAGGGTTGGACTTGTAATTGCTTTGGTTTAATTGTATTTATTTATGTTTTATGATTTCTAACTTTTTTTTCTTGTTTTTTTTTTTTTTTTTTTGTTATTGCAGATGAACTCTGATTACTATGGGAATTTCACCAATCTCCTCAATGAAGACTCATCCTTGTACGGTGAAAGCTATGATGTGAATCCAACTACACAACATGAAAATATTGTTAGTGCTAGTGCTTCGAGTAGACAAAAAAGATCATCCAATTTTACTTGTGAGGAAGATATTTCTCTTGTGTCGGCATGGCTACATACAAGCAAATATGCCGTTCATGGAAACGAACAAACATCTACACAATATTGGAAGAGGATTTATGACGAATTCATAATCAATTGCGGTCAAGGAGAACGTAGTGAGCAAAGGATAAAAAATCGTTGGCGAGAAATTAACACCCATTGTGCAAAGTTCATTAGTTATGTTAATCAAATTAACAATAGGAATCCGTCTGGTCAAACAGATCATGGGAGGGTACATGTATTTCCTTCTCTTGTCATATATTTAATATATATCAATATTATTGTTAACATTTGAATATTTTGTGTCATAGGTGGAAGAAGCAAGAGCACTATATTTTGCCAACAATGATAAAAAGTCATTCAAATTTGAACATTGTTTTGATATTCTAAAGCACGAGAAGAAATGGCTTAATACTTCTAAAAAAAATTAGCAAAGAAATACTTCTTCTATCAACCTTGAAGGTACTAAAATATCATCAGAAGATAACAACAGTGAGCTTTCGGCCAATAAAGATCGGCCTTTGGGTAAGAAATTGTCCAAGGAATCACAACTCAAGAGAAAACAAGGCATAACGGAAGGTGGAAGCTCATCTAGAATGTTTACCGATGAGCGTTGGGAAGCAAAGATGGTAATAGAACACGAAAGATATGATTAACGCGAAAGGCTCATAACAATACAAGAAAATGCAATACGTGTCGACGTAGAGCGCAAACAAATAGATGAAGAGCGTAAACAAATTGACGAAGGGCGTAAACGTATAGAACAAGAGCGTGTAGAGATGGAAATTATGACGAAAGATACTAGTGGGATGGAAGAAATTCATGCAGCTTATTGGAACAAGAAAAAAATTGAAATATTGAGAAATAATGGTTTAATATAATTGTTTATTTATGTATTTTGCATTGTAGGTAGGAAAATTGGTTTTAAGTATTTTTCAATTGAGTAGGATAATTGATTTTAAGCATTTTCCATTGTAATTTAATTGGTATTGTATTTTTTTTTGTTTTATCTATAATAAAAAAAATTATTGTTGGGTGATTGAAAAATCTAATGACAAGTACAAATCAAATTTGAAGATATAAAATAAGTTACAATACAATACAACAAAAATACAGTACAGAAAACGAACATTATTTGCAATTGATAATTTAGACCAATCTTGACCGTGTAAATCCCATAAATGTTCAACAAGATCATGCTGAAGTTGGGAATGAGTAGTACGATCTCGAATTTGGTGATGAATTTGAATAAAGTCTCTAAACTCATTTGTTTGTTCGCGTGAAGGTATAACATTTGGAGTTGGAAAATCAAAATCAATGGAACCTGGCCCATGTTCATCCTTAATAACCATGTTATGCATTATAATGCATGCTTACATTATATTAGCTAGTGTCTCCTCATCCCAGAATCTTGCTAGTCCACGCACTATATTATAACGAGCTTGTAGTACCCCAAAGGCCCGTTCTACATCTTTTCTCGCGGCTTCTTGGGCTTGTGCAAAATGATTCGCCTTTAAACTTATTGGAGCTGATATTGTCTTAACAAAAGTAGCCCATGAAGGGTAAATGCCATCTGCTAGATAATAGCTCATATGATAATTATTTCCATTGACAATAAAATTGACCGGAGGTGCACGACCGTTGGTCAATGCTGAGAAGATATGAGATCTTTCTAAAACATTAATATCATTGAGCGAGCCTGTCATTCCAAAGAAGGCATGCCATATCCAAAGATCTTGTGAAGCAACCGCCTCCAATATAATGGTCGGTTTACGAAAATGACCAGAGTACATAGCTTGCCATGCGGATGGACAAATTTTCCATCCCTAGTGCATGCAATCGATACTTCCAAGCATTCCTGGAAATCCACGTTGCTCGTTGACTTGGAGCAATTGAGACAAATCATCTTCATTTGGTGCTCTTAAATATTTTTCAGCATAAATGGCAACAATTGCTTTCACAAAATGACGTAAGCTATCACTAGAAGTGCTTTTACCTATGCGTATGTGGTCATCTAGAAAATCAGCTGGAACTCCATAAGCAAGAATTCTGTATGCAGCAATTACCTTTTGAAGAGATGATAAACCGGGGATTCCTACTGCATCTTTTGTTTGGACAAAATTGGGATCGTATACTTCAACATCAGAAAGAATTCTACAAAATAGAGGTCTGTGCATACGAAAATCTTCTCCTAAAATAAACACCATGATTTACAGGATTATCATAAAAGTAATCACGATAAATTCTATTATGACCTTTACCTCTATCGCGATTAATGACGCATCTACCAAGAACTGAACCACGACGATGTGTGCGTTGTATTTCTCTCTCGGCTTCCTCCTCCTCAGTTGCTTCTACGAGCATCTCGAGATCATCAGAATCAGAGTCGGACAAGAAAGTTATTAAAACACCTTGATTACGATGCATATTGAAATAAAGATGAAGAAAATAGAAATTGTTGATACTAAATTCTGTGAACAAATGAGATATTTAAAAGGTTTGATATAGATAGGAAATCATATCGGATATCTTAACATCGAATAAACATCTAACACGTTGCAATAAAAAATCTTATCGGATATGGTAACATCGAATTATATAAAAAAAATTATCGAAAATCTTGACATCGAATTATAAGCTGACACGTGGCTATAAAATTTGGTTACCATTTTATTTTAAATAAATTTTTAATGTATATTAAATTAAATGTTTTAATATAATTTAAAAGTAGATATACATTAAATGGATGAATTTAAGATTATTTTTTAAATTTCATTATTCATTTGATGTTTGATGGTTGGAGTTGAATTTTTTTAATAAGGTATCAAAGTACTGTAGCAGGTACCAAATAGCCATTTGATGTTTCAATTTTGATTACTAGCCTTGGACTTGCTCTAACGGAATAACTTATGCAGTCCACTATTCCGTTAGGGATTCTAACAATGTTTTAGGGGGGTCATTGTAATTATCGATACCACAACGATCTTCAAATTATTTTGGCATACCTCAGGGGTGTAGGTGTAATTTACCCAAACAAAAACTAGAAAACAAACAACGGAAGAAGATGGAGATGGTGAAGACCTAACACCTCCAAAGCACACCACCGACTTCCGCTGCACCGACCGCCTTTGCTATATCGCTGCCGCCGTCTTCCTCAGCTCAGACTGGTAGCTTTCCTGTTAAAATTGTCAACTGGCAAGTCGCTTAAAGTCTTCTTGCATAGTACAATTAATAAGATATGACTATAGTTTAACAAATTATGAATATTTCTCGGGGTATTGAATTCAAGTATTCAACATACAGTTAAACACCTCTATAAGTTAATATAGTCAGGAACTAGCAAAATTCTATTAATTTAGTGAAATATTAAATTATCGAGTTAATAATTTAGTATAATATCTACCAACTCATGACCGGAAGAAATTATTATTTGAGCGAGGTTATTAATTTATCGAGGTTCTACTATTCCATGTTCACTTTATCTAAAAACTCTTCGATATTATGTTTATTAGCAAACAATTCCGATGATTCAATTTCTTTTATCATACTATACCCTCTTTCCTAAATACCACAACATTTACGCCTTTGCTAAAATACGCATCATTGAAGGAATTTTACTAATGCATTTTAGTATAGGGTTAATAGCATTTCGCCACCTGAACTTTGCCCGTTTTCGCACTTTACCACCTTAACTAAAAAAAGTTGCACGGGCACACCCAAGCTCATTTTTTTGACGCACATAACCACCTAGGAGGAATATTCCGGCAAATCTTCTGATTTTCCAATGCACGTGCGATACACATGCTTAATGGAGGGGTTTTTTTTTGTTATTTCACCTTAAAAAATTTGTGGGCCCTCTTTTTGCTCTTTCTTCTCCTTCTCTTTCTTATTTTCTCTCTCTTTCACGCACACCCACACACATACAAACATGCCCCATCATCATCTTCTGCTTCTCTTCTTTCTTTGTGTTTTTGTCAAGAATCAATGCTGTGATGGGAACTGTGAAAGTATAAAATTATGTGGTTGATCCACATGTGGTAATTCAGATATATGCTTGTCTAATTTTTTTAAAATCATTGGCCAACGAAAAAATCCAGAAAAAAATTATATAAAATATAAATATATACATATATATACATACAAAAAAAATTGAAGTGAATTACCTATGAGCTCAGTTTATGGGTGGTGATATAACAGGATAGTCGGCAAGGCATTGGAATGCCGTTACGACGAACGAGACCAATTACAAGTAGTCTTCATTGCTCATATATACTTACACATATATATACACACAGAAAATCTGAATTGAAATCAAAAAAATTAAAATTAAATCAAAGGAATGGATTTCTGTAGAAGCAAACTCTTCACGCTGGGGTGCGTGTTTGTGTGTGCTGTTTGAAGAAGGCGAGATGAGTAGAGATCTGAGCTGTGGGGATAGAGAGGCGCTGATGAAGAAGCTAGGGTTTTTTTATTTAAAAAACAAATTCAAAATTAATTGAGTAGAGAAGGAATTCATAGAGAGATGCAGATTGATTCTTTTTTTTTTTTTTGATTGTAGATGTAAATAGTATAAATAAAAAAAAAAATCGTAGACAATTACAACGGGCATACCCGAGGGAATTGAGTCACTAGTGAATAGCTACAAGCCATTGAAAGGCATAAAATAACATAAAAACTCAAATTCGTAAACGAAACAATTTCGGTTGAGGTTAAGCACCCCGGCCCTAGTTGGCGTCGATTTGGCCGATCATGAATCGGCCTCCACTGCTGGTCGTCAGTTTCGGGTACTGCATAAACATAGCTGAGTAAACGTGTGTTTGGATCCTCCGAGTAATAGCGGTTGCCGTCGTTTCCGTCATGTCGAACTTCTTCAATCTGTGTTTGATTGTGTGTGTGTGTGTGTTTTTATTGGACGGCGGCGCTGAGAGCTGATGATGGGTATGTCTGTATATGTGAGGGTGTCCGAGAAAGAAAGAGAGAGAGAAAGGGAGAGAGAGAGAGAAAGAGAGAAAGGGAGAGAGAGAAAAAACAGGCCCCACAAAAATTTTGAGGTGAAATGACCAAAAAACCCTTCCATTACGCATGTGCATCGCGCGTGCGCCGGAAAATGAGAAGATTCGCCGGAATATTCCACATAGGTGGTTATGTGCGTAAAAAAAGTGAGTTTGGGTGTGCCCTTGCAACTTTTTTTAGTTAAGGTGGTAAAGTGCAAAAACGGGCAAAGTCTAGGTGGCGAAATGCTATTAACCCTTTAGTATATAATACATGATTTTTTTAGCAATTCGAAATAATACGGTTTGTATTTTCCTAGTTCATTTAATGTAAAAACAGAAAAAAATTAGTTAATGGTTAGTCAGCTAGTTCCGACGACCTGGAGAAAAAACAAAGTTTGATGTCAAGTTTCATCCCTCAAGTTTGCACTGATTTCACATTTAGTCCCTCGTGTTTACAAAAATCACATTTGGTCCCTCCTTTTTCAAAAAAATCAACACTTTAGTCATTTCTATCAATTTTCTATTTGTACTAACGGAATCAAACGTGTGCCACTCATTGCCTTAACTGACGAACTAACAGTAAATTAACATAATTGACCAAAAATGTTAAATTATTGAAATATAATGGACCAAATGTGTTTTTTTTTTTGGTAGACATGGGGGACCAAATGTGAAATCAATACAAATTGAAGGGGTGAAAACTGTAACTTTCCTTTTTCAAATTCATCTAGACCAACCATAGTTATCAAATTAATTATTAAATAGAAGTTTAGTGGTTTTATTTGTAATTGCCACATGTGAACTTGTGATTGGAGCTGATGACGTTTTTTATAACTCAATTTCCAGCAAGTATATTTACATCTCAAGAGGTGAATTATCAAAATAGAACCTTCATTTGATAACTCCATTGCAGTTAAAAAATTCTAGCTTTAAATATATAAATAATGGTTATATGTTTGAATACCCGATTTGATAATCCCCTTCGACGAATTATCCACACCTTTTGGTGCTTGCGAATCTCTGTTGAAGGAGAGAGAAAGTGAGAAAGAAAAATACCAATAGCGATAAGTAAGACAACAAAATATCTATTTCTTGCTTCATTCAAGTTAAGAACATTAACAATATCAAACTTCAAGTTTAAAACATAATTTAAAACAGGAAAATTACAGTTTGCATCCCTCAAGTTTTGCACCGATTTCGAATTAGGCACCTCCAGTTTCAATAATTTAAAAGTTTTGGTCATTTTCGTCAATTTACCATTAGTCCGTCAATAAACAAGGTGATGGGTACAAACTTGATTCCGTTAGTTTTACGGAAATTTAACATAATTGACTAAAAATGTTGAAATTTTTAAACATGGAGGACCAAATATGTATTTTATGAACATAAGGGACCAAATGTGTAATCGGTGCAAACTTGAGGGATGAAAACTGTATTTTTTCCCAAAATTAAAACATACATAACAATAGGAAACACTATCTGAATCTTATGCAATTCATTATAAGAAATTTATTGCTCTTTAGCTAAATAAATATTTTCTGAATCTTGTGCAATTCACTGACAACATTTGTCATGGACATTAGCTCCGTCGGCATTTCCTTTGAACACGGCAACCCGATGCTCAGAATAGAACATATGCAATCCTCGAAGTTATTGTTATCGATTTGGTGAGGGCCTATACGAATGTGAGGATCCACAATTTCCATTACACGATCTGGCAATGCAGCTTCAACGAAATTGTGAAGATTGACATGATCCATAAATGATTCATCTGTTGGTCTTTTCTTCGTTAATATCTCCAAGACAAGTATACCGTAGCTATATACATCCCCTTTTGTCGAGACCGACTCACTCGTGCCATATTTTGTACATAGATTCGAGATATGTAATAATTATATGGAACTTGTGGAAATAATGTTTAGGACAAAATGCACTTCACCCCCTATAAATTTTCCATTTCCGCACTTTCCCCCATAATAATTAAAAATGGATATTTCAAAATGTTATTTTTGTTGAACTTTGCCCCAAAAGCCAATTTTTGCTGGGCATTGTGCAACAAAAATAATATTTTAACAAGGTACAGCAAAATTAACATTTAAAGGGGCAACGCGCAACAAAAATACTCAAATACAGGGAATAATCCATCGAAATTTTGCAATCGGCGGAATTTGAAACAAGAATAAAATTTTGAATGGATACATACATTCACATTTCCAAATTTGTAGGGGGTAAAATGCAGAAATTAGAAATTTGTAGGGGGTGACGTGCAATTTGCCCTAATGTTTATTGAAGATTAAAGATTATTAATGAAGTCATATTACCTGGTGGAACATAACCGAAGGTACCCTTGATCCCAATTGAGCTGCTGCTTTGATTTTGTGGAAGTATGGTTGAAACAATCTTGGCTAGACCGAAATCACCAACGCAAGCCGT